TGATTGCCCACTCCGTCGACCCATGAAACGCTAACAATTCCTTGAAGAAACCTATGGTCAAACACCTGGAGCTTATGCTTGTCTTCTACCTTCAGATAGCATGTTTCACAGCCATACAGTAGAACAGGACAGGCTGCTGCGCAATACAAACGCGCTTTGTCTGTGAACGGACATTTAGCACACGCCAAAAGTGACGCAAGTTGATTGGGGCTAACCGAGCTTTCTTAGATCCTTTCCGAGACCAACCCACCAGGACTCCTAAGATCAGTGAAGCGATCAAGATACTTAATTACTTTACTCCTTATAATCAGTCCAGGCAACATTTTGCATTTATGGGGAAAGAAACGCATCCCAAACATCTCTAGATTGCTGTTTGAGGTAGCCAAGAAACTGCGTTTCGTCAGCGTTATCATCAAACAGAACTATATCAGTTAGGTATTTTAATTCGATAAGTGAACGTCCTGGTGCGAGACTAATCTCTGGGAAGTTGAGAAGTGTTGTTTGTAAGAGAGCATCTTTGAGCACATTAAATAAGAGGGGGTAGTGGGCGATTCTGATGAAAACCATCTGATACGCTCGTGCACTAAGCTAATGTACTCTCAACTCCGACTTCAATACCGCAAACAAAACTACTATCCTTTCCTTCCCCCTGCCTACTGACCATAGAGAAGTCCAGTTTCGTAATGGGAGTGGTGTTGGTGATGATTCCAGTGGGATTGAAGATACATTTAAGGTTATTCAGTTATGTATCAGTTACAATGATTAGGACTGCGAACTGAGTGGTTTTCAATAAACTGAATTATATCAGTTGATAGAGCAATGTAACGGAAATTTGTTGGAAGTTGACCTTACAATCAGATTACATCGATTTTAGTTTCCTTGTATTTGAAGGTTGAACATCCCCAATACTTCTTGAGGCTTAAAGTTCGCCATAAGTACTGAGTCAGCCAATAGGGTTCGAGTAGAAAACATTAACAAGGTTTGGATGGATATTCGATATGTCTTTCAATGAAACATTTTGCCCTTAAACCTAGGTCGAAAGAATTAGATGCTACTTGTAGGTTAAGAAATATGGGTATAATCGGGCGTCGATAATTATGTTTATGTTCACGTGCAAGTATGAAACCAGGAGTGTAGTTTTACAAGAGCTTTTTTGCGACTCCCGTGGCTGGTAATGACCATTAACTGATAAGAAATTTATGAGAAATGCCTTGATATTGCATGTGTTCCCTTACCATAACACTTCTGCACCGGTCATAGTCAAAGTCTCACAACATTATTGGTTCATTTACTTTTCTCGTCTGAACCTTGATCACCTGTTTCAAAACTACTTACCAGTGTAGAGGAATACGTCTGTTAATAAAATCTGGTTTAATCCTTGTTTTCCTGTACTATTCTCAATCACTCATCACTGTTCCGTAATTAAAGATAGTAAGGTTTGGAGATCTGATATTCAAATCAATTTCTTAAGATTATGAAGTGGGAATTACGTTTTCATAAGTTGAGACAATTATCGAATAAATTTAAATAGAACTGTCCGTTATACATCTATTTCAACAGAAGCCTAATTGTTATGATGATATGATTGTTGAGCCTGCTGATTGCCACAAGCCTATGAACTACTTTGGATAAAAGGTTACTAAAATTTTTAAAAAAGAAAAACAGTAAACCCTGGTTCTAAGACAAAGGTGTTTTGTTGAATTTATGTAAGGATATCATACGTTTTTGAGAACGTTGATTGATCTTTCCGACATTCAGATGTCAGAGTTAGTTTTCGAAATTAGTATACCGTTTCTATACTTGACGGATTTCGCATGCCATATGTAAGACACGACATCAATCTACGAAGATACTTTTGGATTGAGTTATTTAGGTAAGTGTAGACTACCTGGTTAGGGTCTGGTTGATTATCGTTAAGAATAGTTGGAGAGTTTTTAATATAGGTCGAAATCGTTTGGAATTTCTCAGATGCATTTACTGTTTATCTTTCTGTAGATCCCGATTTTCTAAATTCTTCAGAATTTTTTTCGTTCAACTGACTTAACGTTTTTTTTTGGGTTGTAAAGTTGATGTATTATCTGTTTTATCATAACGAATACTCTTACAACCTCTATTACTCTTGGAATTTTTGTAGTGTTTTCACCTCGATGTTCTAATGGGGTGTGGAAACTTGAACCAATGTACACAAGCACCAGGTTCTACTTGGCATATGTCTGACGAAAGGTTCTCATTTAGGAGCCAACACTATGAAAGTAAATAATTCTGAAGATCTGTGTTAATCCTTAACCAGTTCTCTCTAGGTCTGATCAAAATACGGTATCATTTCCTGAATAGAATGACTGTTTGTCTGAAGTGTTTCGGGAGATGTAGACTATCTACTTCAAGTTTGAGGTACAAACGAGTGCTTTGTTTCTTTACGCTGTCTTACGCAAAATCGCTTTCAATGACCCAGATCCATCGATTTTGATTTGAACAGAAAAAATATTTCCGTAAGGGACTGAACGCATTCTATTTGAAGTCTCTTCGTCAGCCGAAAATATACAAACATTTCAGGGAGTGATATACTTAAAAACTAAACTTAAATGTATTTTGGTCAGCGAACGTTACCTGGAGTTCTTTATTTCTAATGTTAGTATTATTTACTACACATCTCAAGTTATCGTTTTTCTCCCCGTTTGGGAGTTTAGACAGATATATGTCCCAGATCCTAAATTATTGTCCATGTGAATAATAGTTGTGAACAGCGGCTTTAAAGGCAAATGAAGGTAGAACTTCAAAAGTTACCTTTTGAGACCTGAGGTTTCCAAATGCTTCCAAAATTGATTATTCAGTCTTTTCTGCAACTTAAGCTATTAGAGTTACTCTTGAAAGTCCTCCGCTTGTCTCCTTTCACTTTTAGTGAATTTACAAATGAAATTCATAAATTCTATTGTCATCACTTACCTTTGCCTATCGTCCCGTCTCCTAAATACCTTCAATCCAGTAGACTGTTAACCATCATCGAAGTCCGTTTTGTTTTGAAGTGGTCCGAGATTTCAATTATCTTTTAATATTTGAATTCTGGGATCAATTGGTGATGTAATCTGTTATTCTCTCATAGACTATCACTTCTACTTATACTGTCTATCTTGTAAACTATCAGTCTAAATTTCAGCAGCTTATCCTACTCACTGTCGTCAGAAAAAGTTCCACTTCCAAAGTTAATATTATCTGGAAGCATATGAATTTGTTACAACTAATCACCGTTATCGTTTTGTTGAAATGGAATTCACAAAGCTTTTTATTGGTGTTTTCCTGTTTAATTTCACTCTTATGTGCAAAATGAAGTGAATGACTGCCGTGTATATCAATAAAACCTGTCCTCTATACAGTGAAAACTCCAGTTATATAGCTCGAAAACCAGAAAATACTAATATATATCCTATTCCTTCAGCGTCTTCGCTTAGCCGTTATATCAAATAGGTGATGCGAAGCAGAGCGTACGACTGAAAGTAATTATTTTTATGCTCCTGTAAAATTGTGGTAACTGTTTGTCAAACCTTGTATCAAAGATCCAATGCCTTAACTCCCTAAAATCTGATAATATCAGTTATCGAGGTGGAAAAAAGTTTAAGACGAATTAAAGTGGTTTTTTACATGTAAAAATGGGATATCCTTTAGTAGCCTACATAACATCTGTGTACGGCTGGTCGCACATAACCACTTTCATTTTTTGAAAATCGTACTTGTATTAACATATTTTCTTAGATACTGTCGTCCAAATTAGTGCAGTATTGTCCGACCCTTGGATTTTCATTTTTTGAAAGCTTTCATTTATCCCAGTCGTTACCGAAAAAATCCTATGTCAAGCAAACTTTTTAACAATCCTAATTCAGTATTTTAGGTATCTTTGGGGATATCCTTTTATTGCTTTTAAAGAGTTGTAATGCATTGATGTTTTTATTCTAGACGGAATCAGCTGGTACAGTCCTCAGCACCAATTGGAGTGAAGTTGGAGCAGGTAAAGTTGAAATACGACCTCCAGATGGGATGGAATATAAGAAGTATGAAATATAATATTTGTTAACAAAAACTGCTTTATGCTTACGACTTTTTCAACGAAAATAAAGTATTTTCACGTTCATGACATTTTTCCTTGATAGATCATACTAATTCAGTGAAGATCAATCGCATTGCGAAAACTTATTATATTTTTTCAGTTTTTGTTGCTCTAATTTCAGATATATGCTATAAACGGGATTATTGATAGAATATGAGATATAAAGTTAATGACATATTTCATCATGCAAGATGGTTCTGTTCATATAACTCACAACAGCTTATCCCGTTGTTACTAAAATCCACTATGTGTAATTCCTACCTATATAAATAAGTGACCAAACCCTCATCATTTATATGAAGGTTATAAAATCTTGCTGGAGTATAGAATCAATCTCAGCCTGTAACTGCTTTACTCTTGATTTCTATATATATACAGAATAGTACACAGACATTTCCGTTTGTGCTTTCAACTCCATAGAATCACAAGTGAATTCGCTTAGCACTTAAGTAATACTTCAGACTGTAATGAGTTTTTTGTTAGAAAAATAACCGACTTGCTAAGCTTTCTCGGCAACTTGATACTTAATTATACGATTTTACAAGTACGAGAATGATCTATAACCCAACTCACTTTTATATTTAAACATTTTATTTAAAGGAGAGGTTTCGTAATCTAGGTAGCTGTGATGGGCATGATTGAAAGTAAATTGCTTTTTATAACTCAAGTTCTAGTGTTCTTTGAAACTATCTGAATATTATGGCTGTTTATTTGACTCATGGTGATATGCTAAGTAACTTTGCGCGCATCGCTTAGAAAGGCTAACACGTTTATAGCCAATAGCTTAGGTTTTTATGACGACAGGATACTCGGACGTCTTATCTCTTTAAAGCAAACCAGTCAAATACGCTTTCTGGACCTTCGAAATTGTTTTGTTGAACATTCAGCTAAAACTATACTGTACATCCCGAAATTTATTGACAGATTATTTTGACTGATAATATTACCAAATTAGTTATTTTAAAGAAAATAGTCCAAACTTTGTATAATGCAGTATCATTGGAATATACAAATTTTTCACAACTTAACATATCCGTATGATAACTTCAGTTTGTGAACATAACCATTTGGAGAAGACTGATCACTCGTATGGATGTCAAGTCTGCTAAAACCGCCTGGAAATAAAAGTTGAGCATTTATTACTTACGTTTAAGTGAATGTAAATTATTAAATCAATACATAAACGCTACTTAATTGTTTGTTCATAATCAAGTTGTTCACTATACGTACGCCTATTTGGGTTAGACCATGAATGTTTATCAGTAGAGCTCAAAATTATTAGTTCAGTTCTAAACTTAATTAAAGACCTTATTTTCAAATATTTTGAAGTTAGTGTATATAGAAGTACAGGGCCATATTTCTTATTACGTGCTTAAATTAAATGGCTGCGAGTTATCACTTAAGGGTTCTATGTTTTTGGCCATTTAACCCAGCAAAATACTAGATTATAAGGGAATCTTACCCCAATACTTAGTACATTATGATGTTTTCCGTACATATTTCAGCACAATGTGACGAAATATAGAATATTAATGATCAAATGTAGTAGCCGCTAATTTTGTTGTTTGGTGAACTACTCTACTACGTGAACCAACGGAACTGCTGTGTAATTATTTCGGATTGAGTTCTGTAATTTCGTGTTATATGATCAAACTTTATTAAATATCTTTTTTTCGAGCTGCTTTTTGTATCAGATACATAAATCATTCCCATCAATAGTATTTATTTAGTAGTTCCTGGATTTTCGTTCCAATTCTTACCAAAGACTTGAAATTTTTTATTGACTTTATAAACTTGTACTTATAAATGGAAGTTCGTTTCTAAGCTATGAAAACGAGCTGTTGCTTTTGACGAATAATGGAAACATATTCTTTTCCAACCTTAAACGTTATTTTTCCCAACGCACTCGAGATTCTACTTTATGGGTGTTAAACATGGCCATTAGGAATGGGGGATATCCGTAGGTTACTAGTATTCGAGATAGGTATTCTCGATGCATGGTGAATCGGTTGATGAGGTTGTGCATCTTCATCAACTGAGGTATTGGGGACATGGGTTACTTATACCATGTCTCGAGGGGTGACACTGTTTGGTGTAGGAGTACGTTGGAAGAAAGTTACAGACTGATCAAATTAAGACGTGACACCAGTCTAGAGGTTAAGTATGAGTGCGATATTGAATGTTATGTGTTCGACTCCCGGTCGCGTTGTTGTGGATGCACACTGCCAAGGAGTCCCATGCTAGGAACAAACGGCAGTCTAGTACGTCCAGTTTTTAATGGCTAACTATGGTCGGTTGATGATTTCAATGATAATCTTATCTCTCTGTGCTGATATGGCATGGGAGCTTGAACCGATCCACATATGTGTCATTTTCTTCTTTGCGTATGACTGATTGCACTAAATGTCTATCCAAGTTTACCTCATAACTAAGACATTTGGTGAAGTGTTTGTAAGCAGTCTTCTCAGAAACGATTTTTGGCTAAATATATTTGCACTGGTGAATGGTTTTTAAACTTCGAAATTATAATCTTGTCAGAAATAATAAGAATCGTAAAGTAAATTCAAACAGACATTAATTTAATATATCAAACAATTTTCACACCTCTACATCTGCATTTGTTTTCACCAGAAGTAGATTAGTACGACGGTAAGAGAATATAGCGACAGCTAGAACTGTAGTAAAACAATTAAATTTATGAGTATAAATGACACAGTGGTCGTGAATGTAATGCATAATTACCAAAAGATATGCATAATTTCACGTGAAAAATTTACCCACTGAACACAATGACTTCATTTCCATACCAATTGCTCTCTGTTCTCGTTCTTTCCCCTTCGATCTTCCCAACCTTCCGCTGCCAGATATTCTATTCCTGGTTTGCGTTACATACTACTTATGTCGATATAAGTAGCACATACCACAGAAACAGTAGATTTTCATTGGAATCATGAACCGATTTAAGTTGGACAACCATCAAACACTTGGAAACATTGAACAGCCATTTCGTCCTAACACAGGACTCCTCAGTCATACGCATCTACGACTCCGCACGTATGACTCAGACCCATGGACTTCGATCTCGAGTGAACATTTAGCCTGTAGTCCACTGAGCCGTTAACCAACGATTTTAATGTCTAACTTCATCCGTCTCACGATATTGCGCATCCATCTCCCATTGTGTTCAGTGAGTAAATTTTTCACATGAAATTATGTCTATTATTCGGTAATTATGCATTACATTCACGATCTTACGGTAAGAGAATATAGCGACAGTTATAACTGTAGTTAAACAATTAAATTTATGAATATGAATGACGCAGTGATCGCGCGCGAGCGCTTAACCTCTAGACCACTAAGCTACCATGTTTTCACTGGTGTTTGAACAGTGATCGGTCGATAATCTCAATTAAAACAAAAATATCCAGAACCCTATACTAATACTTGAATCAAATTTGTCACGCTACCAGTTGTGTCTGATATATTAGGTTTCTTGTAAGTTTGTCAATATTTATAAAAAGATATCTGATCTTCAATATAATCAAGATTAAGAGAACTCATAGCTAGTGACTTCTCAGAAATTGTAGCTTGAAAACCATATTCTAGATAGTAAATTTGATTTGCAGCGACAAAATTGCTGTGGATATAATTAAAATTCCCATTTATACAGAAAATGTTTAGAAGAGCGGAAATAACCCTTGGAAAATCAAGGGATTATTTTTTGGATGTCTGTTTCTGCACTTATTACTTATTCATTCGATAAGTGATTCACGATATTCTATTATTATCCTAAATGTTAGCTTTCGTTTGACCAATTAAAGGTAGAGACATCTATTGCTATTCAGAGAAATTTAGTTAATTGTCTATAAACCTATAAAAATTTACGGTGTATTATGATCCTCTATTTATGTAGTCGCTTTGATATATTTATATATTTTTATATAATAACTTTTTTCTGAACAGTAAGTGGTTCTTGACCGGACTTTCTAATGTTCTGACTGGCGGTTTTGAAATAGGCTGATTTTACGTGAGTACTTGATTGTTAGCTCATTCAGTATGTACGTTAGTGGAATTATTGTGTTTAGAGTAGGCAGAGAACACAATCAAAACCGTTTTTCCAGATATGTAGATAAGAAGCGGACCGAACACCGCTATCAAAGCTTCGTTAATTTAAAACGCATTATACTGATGATCTACTTCGCCAACATTGTAACCGACACTGGACTTCTTTCTTCCCATCGGTAGTATTATTTTCAGGTTATCCTGGCGACGACTATGTCGTCGACAAAACTTCAATTTGATCGTTGTGATTAAGAGCAACCAGCGAGTTTTCCAAAAAAAGACTTCAGGAGTTAGTGGCTTTATGCTCTGTCTGGAAAACTATGAAAGAGATCAATGGGCTTATCAGATTCAAGCATTTTACTTCATCTATGCGAAAAGATGTTTGGTGAAAGTTACACTATTATTTGACGGTTTTGTGATCTCCCAGTTTTAATTTACTGAACAGTTCAGATAGGAAGCCTAGGTTTCTGGTACATGTCAAAATAACCGTTGGTGAATTCAGCTATTAGTTTAAACTATTATGTCCAGTATTTTGTTTTAATTACCGAGCAGTGTCGAGAACCAGAGTATTGTATGTCTGTATGCTTCATTTACGGTCGACTCGTATTCATATATAAAACATAAATGTACACAATTATTTTACTGTATATAAGAAAACATTTTACAGTTGTCTGCACCTGATAAAATTTCCAAAGAATCAAATCCAAGGATTCTATCCCATAGTAAAAGTACTTGGTCAGGTGCCAAAAAGCCACTGAATGCACGCACTAGCCATTTAAATATAAAACGGACACTGAAGAAAAGTTATTAAAAAGTTAAACATTACTTGTTGAAACAAGTGATAAAATTCACAAAAATTGTGATAGTTTTTCTGTGTGTGAAGAACTGATCACTTGTAATAATATCTGTTATATACGTTTAGGAAAATAAGTAAACATTGTTAGCCTCATAATCCCAAACCACGTTACACAGTTCTGAATTATATCAATACAATAACAGTTTAGTTATTCTATATTGGAAGAACTGGGAAGTTATCCTGTTCATTTACCATATAGATTATTCAATGCATCAGTGTAAAATTAGAGAAAATAAATCAGTCATTGCTGAGTTAGTCTTTTCAGCTACTAAAGAGTAATGAATTACTCTTGTAAATAGTGATAGTTGAGAAATAATTTTGTATTTATTAATTAAATGTGGTATGTATGTGTTTTCGTAGCTTACTTACTTACTTATGCCTGTTACTCCTCGTGAAGGAGCATAGGCCGCTCAACAGCATTCACCATCCAACCCCGTCCTGAGCAATCCTTACCAGCTCCTTCCAGTTGTTATTCATCTTTTTCACATCTGCTTCTATTTCCCGACGTAATGTGTTCTTGGCCTTCCTCTTTTCCGCTTCCCTCCAGGATTCCAAGTTAGGGCTTGCCTCGTGATGCAGTTTGACGATTTGCGTAGTGTATGTCCTATCCATTTCCATCGTCTTTTCCTAATTTCTTCATCATCTGGAAGCTGGTTTGTTCTCTCCCAGAGAAGGCTGTTGCTGATGGTATCCGGCCAATGGATGTTGAGTATATTGCGTAAAAAGCTATTTATAAATACTTGTATCTTCTTGATGATGGTTGTTGTAGTTCTCCAAGTTTCAGCTCCGTACAGTAGAACTGACTACCTTGACGTTTGTATTGAAGATTCTGACTTTGATATTGGTTGAAAGTTGTTTTGAGTCCCATATGTTCTTCAATTGTAGGAATGCGGCCCTTTCTGTGCCAATCCTTGCCTTTACGTCTGCATCTGAACCTCCTTGTTCATCAATGATGCTTCCCAGGTATGTGAAGGGTTCTACATCTTCCAGAGTTTTGCCATCAAGAGTGATTGGATTGTTGTTCTCCGTGTTGAATTTGAGGACCTCGGTTTTCCCCTTGTGTATGTGTATGTTGAGGCCTACTGATGTAGGGACTGCTGCTACACTGGCTGTCTTTATCTGCATTTGTTCATGTGTATGCGATAGGAGGGCTAGGTCATCTGCGAAGTCCAAATCGTCCAATTGATTCTGAGCTGTTCATTGTATTCCGTGTCTTCCCTCAGATGTCGAGGTCCAGTGGACCACCAGAAGAAAGAGGAAGGGAGAGAGTAGACAGCCTTGTCTGACTCCGGTCCATACTTGGAATGCATCTGTCAGCTGTCCTCCATGCACGACCTTGCACTGTAGTCCGTCATATGAGTTCCGGATGATGTTGACAATCTTCTCAGGAACTCCGCAGTATCGAAGAAGTTTCCATAACGCTCTCCTATCTACACTGTCAAATGTCTTTTCATAATCAATGAAGTTGGTGTACAGTGACGAGTTCCACTCAATTGATTGTTCGACGATGATCCGTAGTTTCGCAATTTGGTCTGTGCACGATCGATCCTCACGGAATCCAGCTTTTTGATCTCGAAGTTGGGCGTCTACTACGTCTTTCGTCCTGTCCACCAACACTCTGTTAAAGACTTCCCCTGGTACTGACAATAGTGTATATCTTCGGGTCCTGCTGCTTTCCCGCTCTTGATTTGTCTGATGGCCATTCTGATTTCTTCCGTCGTTGGTGGACTGACATCTATAGGAAGATCTGTGTGTGCTGTTTTCGGAGCAGTGAAACATATTTGCCCTTCAGGCGTAGAATTTTTTTAATAGTGTTATTGCTAAGTTTACATTAGGATTATTTTTGCAAGGACTCTACAATAAAGATGAATTTTTGACCATTCTATAAACTCTTGTACATAAAAATTGAAGTTTTGAACAGTAAGACGTGATTTTTCAGTTTGGATTACATACTTTTGAGAGGGATTTGTTTCGTGAGAGAAATCTTTAGTTTACTTTAGAGCTTCTATATAAAAAACAAATCTCATGTTCTAGCAAGGCATCCAATTTAAATAAAAATTCAACTTTTGTTTATATCCTAGTAACAGAACGAACAATCAGACTTGAAGACATGATCAGTAATGTGATATTGAAATAGTTAGGTATTAATGACATTCATGATGTTATGTCCCGATAAGCACAATGAATGATAACTTTTGTGATCCATTTATGGATCAATACTATACGTACATTTTTATCGTATAATTTTTGAATAACTAAACTATTCATATTAATGACCCTCTTATCATGAGCTTTATTTTGACCTATGAACTATTATTATACGATTCACCATGCATGAATTATACCCTGTCTATTAATCACTAACTCCCACCTTCACATCCACACTTGGTCAAATCTTGTACAAATGTTGCTTTCTATTTTACGATGTAGTCTGTTTGATTGGTAAATAAACCCCGTATTGTTTTAGATACATGATTCACATCACAGAGGCTGAGATTTGTGTTCTGGACTTAACTGACTGGGCTAGGTGAAATGCAGGACCAATCAGGACTATAGACTGCTCGCACGTGTTTTACGCGTCACTGGTCCGATCGATAAGTCACTGCTATCTAATTGGCGGTATCATTACGTATACATTAGCATGGCACTCAGACAACAAGTTATAACGCATGAATATATACGTTAACCTTTAAAGAAAGAATAAAAATCAGCGTTTAACGTTACGCCTTCTTGAAGTCACCACGAGTGTGAACGTAACTATACGCCTAAAATGTACTACTTTGAAGTCATATACCAAAATGTTTTGCACCAACCACATCATACTGAACTGTTTCACCGAACTATTCCTTTATTGATGGCATACATTATAAGAACTTGTTCAGAAAATACATTCAAATACAACTTGCACCTTGAGACCCTGAATTGTAATTACTAACTGCGGTTCGAACCATGATGATTGACTCTGTTTCTACTGCAAAATCAACGAAGGGCAGATAGTTTGGTTTCGAAAGGAAACGTTTGTTGTTGATGTAGTGTCCTTTCCTTTCTTCTTTTTACTTATTTTAATGCTTCTTTTGTTATCAATGTTTATGATTACTGTTTCGCTACTTCGTACTTTTTTTAAAATGAATACGTCTGTAACAATCAGATAATTTAAATAAAAATAATATATTTGTAATATCCCAATGAGTAGAAAATTAGATTTTCTGACGTTTCGTGGCTTAGTGTAAGTCACTTCTTCAGAGAATAAATAACCAAACTAAAATTAATCCAAGTTTAAATAGTACAACGGAACAATGCAAGAATAATATTTGATCAATCAAAAAACAGGTCTGAACAAGTTGATGTCATGTCATTTCTGTCAAGGTGATTCATAAGTGATAAGTATGTAAATTTGTGTGTGTATGTATATGTGCATTGTTTATGAATGAACACTTGTGTGACCTTTATGGTAAGAAAGGATAGAGTTTAAATTTGTAATATGAAAGTGTGAAATTGTAAATACGATCAGACTGAATGGTTAGGATAGATGGTCCAAGTAGGGTGTATGGTAAGGCCTTCTTTCTATTGAGAGAAGTAGGATTAAGCATTATGTGGAACGCCTCAGCTACCCTCCTTTCTTTGTAGTTGGAAAAGCCTTTTTGCAATATTTTGATATTTTTAATATCGATTTGGTGGTTGTTGAAAATGGCATGAACTGCTATTGCCGATTTAATTTGAAGTTGGTTCAATTCTACCGGATTGTTAGGAGGTTTCTTTGTGTACCTAATATGTTCTTTGGCTCTAGTCACGATTTCGCGGGATGACTCTCCAATATAATAGGCATCACAATCGATACAACCTAATTTGTAGACGCAGTTCTGTGTGGACATGAAAGGGATTTTTTCTTTCAGGCGAACTAAAGTATTACGTAGTGTGTTCGTTGTTTTGTAATACACTTTAATTCTGTGGTGTTTTAAGATTCTTTGAATTTCTTCTGTTGTGCCATGACGGTATGGTAGAACTACAGTACCAATCCATGGCATTTCATTCGAAACATTATTATAATGTAATAAATTGTTTTGTTTTAATATGCTTCTAATAATCTTCATAGGAAAATTATTAAATTGTAAGGTACTAATTATATTCATTTGTTCTTTTCGTTTGTCTTCCTCTGATGTGATGATCTTGTTAGCTCTTCTAAAAAGATTTAAGGCTAGCGAGATCTTAGCACTGAAAGGATGTGCTGAATGGAAGTCAATATAACGATTTGAATGCGTCGGCTTTCGGTAAATGGATAAGTTTAGACTTCCATTTGGATTTCTTTTTACTAAGCAATCCAAGAATGGTAGCTCACCATGAGCATTTTCATTTTCATTGGTGAATTTGATTTGCGATGAGAGTGTATTAATTCGTTTTGAAAAAGATCTTAGATGAGTCTTTTTTATAACCACAAATGTATCGTCTACATATCTAAGCCAAATTCGTGGTATAATGTTGTGGGCGAAGATATTTGATTCTATGTATGCCATAAAAAGGTTGGCTACAATCGGGGACACGGGGGATCCCATTGCTACTCCGTTAGTTTGTTTGAATAAAATACCGTTAAAAGTAAATAGCGTTGAATTTAAGCAAAGTTTTAATGATTTCATGATTAGACTGATGCTCAACGGACATCTGTCAGGAAGAGTAATGTCGTTCTCAAGTAAACCCTTAATGAATTCTAAGCATTTATCAATGGGAACACTTGTGTATAAAGAAACGACATCAAAGCTTACCATGATTTCATTCTTCTTGATGATTAATCCGGATAATTTTGATTTAAAGTCATATGTGTCTTTAATTATATTATGTAGGTTGAGTTGTAATGGTTTTAATATATTGCTTAAATATTTCGATAGTGCATATGTTGGGGTGTTTGTGAAGTCTACTATTGGTCTTAAAGGAATATCTGGTTTATGAATTTTTGGTAAGCCATAAAACCGTGAGACATTACATGATTTGGGATGCAAAGCAAACCAAAGCGGGACCCCAATGATTGGTTTTAGCTCGTTCAGAAGTTGATTTGTTTCTAATTTGACTTTATTCTTAATCGTTAGAGAAGTTTTTGGATTGATCTTTTCATAAGGTCCTGTTGAGAGATGTTCAAGAGCTTTATTAATATAATCTGTTTTATTCATGATTACTGTTGTGTTGCCTTTGTCGGCTTTAGTGATGATAATTGTTTTGTCTTTTTTAAGTGAATTCAGAGCCTTCAATTCTTCTTTTGAAATGTTTGGGGTAATGTGTTTTTGTTTCGTCAGAATATGGGATGTCTTTTGACGTAGTAAATGCGACTCTTTTTCCGGTAGTTGTGCGATCATAGGTTCTATAATCGGAGCGATTTCAAGAGTGCTAAGTGGTTTTCTGTGTAAATTGAAATTTAATCCCTTCTCCAGTAGAGTGATTTCGTGACTGTTTAAGTTTCTGTTGGAGAGATTATGAACTGTTCTTAGATTATTCAAATTGTATTTTATTGTTGATGTTTTCTTATCTTTCTTCTTTTCTTTGATGTTTTCGAATTTTTTAATTTGTCGGTGTTTCGAGGAATTTAAATAGTGGAGTTCTCTTTCTATAAACAGGTTGGATATCGTGGTTTGTAATTCGATCGGGATTAAAAGCTTCAGTAAATCATCAAGGTTTTTGATTCGTTCACGATATTTTTCTAGTAAGAGTGTGCATTTGTGAATGCGTTCTCGTAAGAATATTCGAGACGCGTGTTGAGAAGTCTGGATAGATCTCCAGGATCGTTCTGGAGGTTTTATAACAAGAGATTTAGGGATGATGTTGTCTGATCGTATTTACAATTTCACACTTTCATATTACAAATTTAAACTCTATCCTTTCTTACCATAAAGGTCACACAAGTGTTCATTCATAAACAATGCACATATACATACACACACAAATTTACATACTTATCACTTATGAATCACCTTGACAGAAATGACATGACATCAACTTGTTCAGACCTGTTTTTTGATTGATCAAATATTATTCTTGCATTGTTCCGTTGTACTATTTAAACTTGGATTAATTTTAGTTTGGTTATTTATTCTCTGAAGAAGTGACTTACACTAAGCCACGAAACGTCAGAAAATCTAATTTTCTACTCATTGGGATATTACAAATATATTATTTTTATTTATAACAATCAACCCAATGCTCAATTTATTCGAAATTATCAAATCAAACCTTGGTAATGACACCTACAATCAGATAATTTGTCATTTTCTCCAAGTGTTTTTAATAATATTTCTGTATGACTTAAGAGATTTATCGACAGTCTAACCACACTGAAGCTTATAGTTTCTTGAAAACATATATAACAGGTTTTAATGAGAAAATTAGTTATATGAGAGATTAAAACACGAATTTCAGCGAAGGGATCTCTTTTCAACGAATTTATTATCAAGCTGTACAATCGTATATATATGAAAATTTTGTTTTTGTAAGTTTTTTGTTGAGATCATGAATTAATTGATGTTAGACCAGCGTTGGAAACCTGGAAGCACTGGACGGACGTTTCTAATAAGGTGATTAAAATGTTTTTGTTATAATAATTAAAGGTTATAGAGGTGTAAAAATAAATAAGGTGATATGATGAGTATTCACGAATAAAACAATGAGAATATAAGACATAAGTAAAGGGGGGAATGCAGTAATAATAATAATAATAATAATAATAATAATAATAATTGGGTAATCAAAATACTTAAGGCCAAGGTAACGATAACGATAAGACGTACTTCTTTTGTACGCATAGTTCTGGTTTAAGCTCCTGGATGGTAAGTGCTTCGGCTATTTTATTCACTAAATCTATTGTTATTATTCGTATTACGTAATCTAGTATTATAACCTTTTTATTAACTGTGTTCACATTTCCTCACGGAATTAGTACTTTTACAAAAACAAAATTTTCATATATATACGATTGTACAGCTTGATAATAAATTCGTTGAAAAGAGATCCCTTCGCTGAAATTCGTGTTTTAGTTATATGAGAGAAACGAATAATGGTCTGTTTGAATCACTGCTTTTGTTTGTGTGAAAGTGACCTACTGAAATTTTAGCGTTACAAGCCTAAAGCAAAGGATTGGTCTCAAGCTTACACCGCAGATGTCTTTTTTCATTTCGGAACACATTTCGAATAAAAGTCATATAATTTAAGTGTTTATCAAAATACACTTTGCTCTTTTTTGACCAGTCAACCGACATTACTTTAGCGATTGTCTCAGCACTAGGCACCTCAATTAGGCTTGGTGGTACAGTGAATTTATCACCTTATTTTATATTTATATTGTAAACCTGACAGTATCAGTGATTTCCTCAAACGCTATGGTAATCATCAGTTCAACAACATGATATGGTGGTATATTCTTCTGCTTCATTTGGCGAATCACTCTTGAAATTAAAGATAATCATTTGGTATGTTAATCACGAATTTCTACCATAGCTTTTTTAATCTAAACTTAGCCTACCATAAATATTTTTACAGGATACTGGATTATATTATCAAATTTAAATACAGGCTGTATCCTGGATATTGTTTCAGTTAATTACAGAAGTCGACTTCTGTCTGATTCATCCCAGTGATTAAGAGAACTAAAACTGTTTTAACACCCATATTCTAGAATCTAATTATTGTGTTTAATTTCGTGAACATTATAGTGTTCATATATTGCAAACTAACCATAGTAGATACGTCTTATCATTTCATTGTTGCATTAATTGTGAACCTGACTGATGCACAGCATAATCCTGTAGTATAATTAAATAATAATACAAGCAGTTTCAGTCGGTCGGTCAGTTACAACGTAGGACCAGGCACATACATGCATCGGTCCAAGTTGTCACACCTGATTAGTACAGCAAAACAAACATCGGATTCATAGAAGTATTGAACACATATTCACCATTCGTCAAGTTCTAAAACACAGGCATGCTTATCGGCGTCCGATAATAGTGGTCTGAAACAAGCAGTTTAACAATGAAAGACATTTAGTCAGTGAATGAATATGGTATATTAGCGAATAGATTAGATTAATAACTATCTAGGAAGTTTCCAGCTCAATTTAAATTAATGCTCAGGCTTTCTTTCTACTTTTACCACTACCTCTGTTTATTCCATTCTAGTAATAAAAGCTAATATATAATTATTAAGACTAAGAAAATATATTAAAGTTGGTTTTATGAGGAAATTAGATAACTTCTATAAAAATTCAACTTACGGTTGTGCACCAAATGATTTTAAATGAAAGAAAATCTCGGGCTCCTTGGTTTGTAACAAACGTTCAAATAACAGGCATAAGCATAAAATACCCTGATAATTACGAAAGATAAATAGGTAAGTAAATTATAATTTGTAATCAACTTTCTAATAAAGTGTTGATTTGGATTTTTGGTTTCTTAGTTTTGAGCTTATCAACAGCATTTAAATCACGTAGTTTTACTTTTCAAGATATAGTGCAGAAGTTTACTTTTTATCTATAAGATTCGATACATCATTCATACAATACAAAGTTGTTTGGTTTATGGTTATGCGAAAGATTTAATAAATGATAGACTTACACTATTTTCATCGGATATGGTATGTAGTTTGTAAAAGTAACGTATATATAATTGACGAAATGTTACATACAAAGTGACTGGGTCGTCATATAAATAACATAATGGTAACACTATAGTGGAAAAAAAAATTTAAAAAGTGTACGAAATGTGAATAAGAGAAAATTTTTAAAGTAACTAATTACTGTAAAAATTCGTATTATTATTGTGAGCTTTAATTGATTTGAACACGTTAAGCAATAAACCAAATGAAGTGAAGAAATTATAATTATCGTTAAGTAAAATGTTCTAGTAACTATTAAAATAGTATGTTATTACATAATAACACATTGGTATAACAAATAATATTTTGATTAACATTAGCTATGCTAATGTAAGTTGTAGCCATTCTCGTTTATGTCATATATCCCCCTTGCTGCTAAATGTTTGATATAGTAGAATTTATCAAAGAAAATTCACAATGGTTACATCTGAAATTTCTATTGACTTAGTCGTACAATCTAAATCAGCAATTAATGAAGGATAACAGTGCTTGATTAACTCGACTAGACAGGAGTAACAGACAAAAAGTAAGCTCGAGTTGCAGCTTGTGTATACTTAAAACGGCTAAAATGATTCAGATGGTTTACAAATTCAAACATCTTTGGGTAGGTGAACTACTAGTGTTACTCATTAAAGCGGCTCTATACTTGAATTCGACTTGACTTGCAGCCTTATTACATTATTTGACTTGGCAAGATATGTCTAATTTACTCGATGTTTTAGTCACCATTTTACGGTTTTCGCTAAATCAAAGTGACATGGAAAAATGGAAGCTCCAAGGACAAAAGTAATTAAGAGTACAAAGTTTAGTCATATAAGAGTTCAAAATAAATTATTTGGATAAATTTGAATACATTTGTAATGGAAAATCAGAAACACTTACTATACATAGAAAAACCATGAAATGGTATGACTCCAGAAGGAGGATAAATATATGTTTCTTTAGAATTTTTAATAATTATCCTTGGTGGTGATCCAAGCATAGTTTTAAAATGTGATAATACGGTCTGATCTCTTGTAAAAGGCAGAAGAATCTGATAAAATGAAATAGTAAAAATACATTTTATTGATTATTTTGGTTGATTTAGTGGTAGCTATTAATTTTCGCATAAAGATAGTGTTAATTAATTTATTGGTTATATTGCATATTGTATGAGTTGATTTACCAATAAAAAATCTAAACATTTTCACTCAAAGTTACTTGAAATACAGGTGTTGGTGAAGTTTCGATTGCCTAATTTTAATTAACCATAAAAAAATATTCGATAATAAGCTGTTCATTGTTGGAACAGCACATATTAACATCATCATTAATTACAATATGCAAACCCAAGTACAAATAAGTTAAGTAAACTGTCTCGAATTATTATAAATAAATAGTATATATCCCAATGAGTAGAAAAATTAGATTTCCTGACGTTTCGTGGCTTAGTGTAAGTCACTTCTTCAGAGAATAAATAACCAAATTAAAACTGAATTATATATACATGGAAGAGAGTTGTCTGAATTTATAAGTGATTGCATGGGCATGTTCCTTTAGAAATTGTTTCAGAATACTGATATTGAGGTTGTTCTGTTTAATATGGTAACACAAGGAGTATGCTATCCTTCTGAGTGGAGCATTTGTGAAGCGTCATGTAACATCTAATGATAACGTTCTCCTTGTGGTTATAATGACGTCAGTAATGGTATCAAATAAATCTGTTATATCTATTGAGCTGATTTCTAGCTCGTTGTAGGATTTCAGCTAGTTGTTTAGCAATGAAATGTTATGACCATTTATGCAATATATATTTCAGGGGTAAGGTGTAGGGACATAATGATTATGTACACTATTTTCTCCATTTTCTTTTCACTAATAATCGGTAAAATATTTATTTGCTTGAATCATATTTTTCAATCACCATAATAATATTAGACAAGAGAAATCACTAGTAATTTTGAAAAATATTTTTAATAGACAATACGATATTTAGGATTGCGAGCTATGAAAGCATCTTATAGATACGATGACGACAAATAATATTTCCCCCAAATGACCTGGTATGGCTGAGTATGGGATGAGCCCACCCTCTTTCTCCAAATGCTCTCACACGGTCACGCGTATACAGCCTCTGCTAGGGAAGTCCTACTCACTGCCTTCTCGTGGCGGGGCTGTTGTTTACGAAAATGAGAGGATGAAAGGCGAATATCCGGCGCTTTAACCGGATCCCAAACCAATGGTGCACAAGAGTTCCAGAATCCTGCGGGGACAAATTTCGTTGGTCACCGGCTACCATGGAACTGCATCTCCTCACGATGCATCACGGCCTTGTGGATCAGACATTTAGGTCAAAGGCTCGGCGTGTGGCCCCTCAATAAAATCACATGCCTCAGTCTGAGCACCCGGGCAGTATCACAGCCCACAAACAAATATGATGAAATGTCGATATTTATGGAAAATACTTGTCTTGCTTCGATTAACAATCAAGTGATTCAGATTATAATTATTATTACCACTATTACTATATTTTACGTCATTTATTCACTCTCTTTTATTCCCACTCTGTCTATCCTGACTTTTCGACTTATACAGCAGCTCGTCTTTGGTGGAAATTCGACTGTATCTAAACGTTCTCGAGTCACTGTCCGGTTGAAAATTGTATGTTACCACTGAATATGAGTACTGAAGCAGTTTTTCTGAAACCACGTGCACCATTCAAAATGGCTGCCTTCAACGTTCGCACACTTATGCACGTTGGACAACAGATAGGTCTGGATATGTCTTTAGAAAGTCTTAATATCGATGTTTGCTGTCTATCCGAGACTCGTATTCAAGACTCTGGTGAAGTACTACAAATTCGCTCTCCATCTGTCGCTTCGAAAAGCTTGTTTTACGTGCGTTTATCCGGGGACCCTGTGGCATCTTCGTCTGGTCTTGCTGGCGTTGGTGTCGCACTAAGCGCTAGAGCTGAGACAGCACTAATCGATTGGATCCTCATTAACAGTCGGTTATGTGCTGTTAGATTAGAAAGTTCCATCAAAGTGAGAAGAAATCGGCGTGAGGAACGATGTCTTTTCGTCATCGCCTATGCCCCGACATATTGCAGCCCGAATGCAATCAAGGATGAGTTTTACCACCAGTTATCTGTTCTTCTCCACAAAGTGCGTTCCATAGATATTGTAGTACTAGCCGGAGACTTGAATGCTCAGGTCGGGCGTCTAGGCACAGAAGAGAGTCGTTTAAATGGCCGATGGGGACTCGTTGGTCGCAGGACAGATAACGGGGCCCATCTACTGCAACTGCACAGACCACAACCTGTTCCTGGCTAGCACTAACTTTCGGCACAGTCATCGCCGATGTGCCACCTGGCGTCCTCCCTCTGCATCCAAAGCCTGGACTCAGATTGATCACATCGCGATCAGCTACCGCTGGCGTGGTTGTGTACAAGAATGCAGCTCCTTTTGGAGTACCTATCTGGACTCTGATCATGCCTTGGTCCGCGCCAATCTTACCTTGCTTTTCAGTGGACAACGAAGTGACCGTCACCAAAAGATTGATGCAAGCAAGCTGGTTGCAACTTCTGTTGCAAGTAAGTATCGAACCGAGCTAGTTTCTAGGCTAGCTACCATTCCACCGAAAAGTATAGATGAGCATTGGTTGCAATTGCATGACGCCATGAAAATGGCGGGTACAGTCAGTCGTGGGTTCGCGAAACGTCTCGCTTATAAGCACTGGCCTTCCTCAGGCTCCTTACAACTCATTGAAGCCCGTCGGTCTACTCCGGGTGACCGTGAGTTTGACCACAAACGAAGGATGTTACGTAATGAAGTTGGGCAAAGCTTGCGTAACGACCGAGAAGCCTGGTGGTCGATGCGTGCCAATGAGCTGGAAGCAACAGCTGCATCTGGTAAATACCGGAAGCTCTTCCAACTCATCCGAGCCACTGGCAGCAAGAAGTCTGGTGTGAGCGAAACAATCTGCGATGATGACGGGATGTCAATCACTAACATCCATCGACGTCTTGGACGATGGGCAGAATTTTTCGAAGGGCAGTTCAACTGGCCTGCTGCTCCGGCAACATCGGTCAGGCTGTCCTTTCCTCCATGGCCGGTGGCGACTGATCCACCATATGAGGCGGAAGTCCGCAAAGAACTCCAACTCTTCAAGCGTTACAAATCACCTGGCCCAGATGACTTACCTCCGGCTCTTTTTAAAGATGGTGGTGACTTTCTGACTAAGGAACTGACGACGTTGTTTACAAAGGTCTGGGAGCTAGGGAGTGTACCAACGTCATGGAATGAGTCGATAGTTGTCCCTATCTTTAAAAAGGGTTCACGTCGTCTCTGTAACAACTATCGTGGGATAAGTCTACTTCCGATTGCCTCCAAGCTATTGGCTTCCGTCATACTTCGTAGGTTGTTTAAAACCCGAGAAAGATTGACTCGCGAGGAGCAGGCTGGGTTTCGTTCTGGTCGAGGATGTATTGATCATATCTTCACCCTCCGCCAAATGTTAGAACACCGTCATACTTATCAAAGGCCAACAATCGTAGTGTTTCTTGACATCAGGTCTGCCTTCGATTCGTTGGACAGGACTGTTCTGTGGGATTGTCTATTGAAGAAGCATGTGCCTGAGAAGTTTATTAACATCCTAAAAGCCCTATATACAAACACCTTAGGCAGAGTGAGGGCATACAACCACCTCTCTCCATTGTTCCATTCGAGCAGTGGGGTTAGGCAGGGTTGCCCAATCTTACCATTCCTCTTCAACTTTGCCATCGACGACATTCTGGAAACAGCTCTGATAGATGTAAGTAATGACGGTGTGGATCTGTTGCCTGAAGAAAGAATTCTCGACCTTGAGTATGCGGATGATATTGTCTTACTGTGCGATAATGCCCAAGGCATGCAATCTGCACTTAATCAGTTGGAAATCAGTGTCCGTAGGTACGGTATGAGCTTTGCACCTTCGAATTGCAAAGTACTTCTACAAGACTGGCAGAATTCCAATCCTGTACTCACCCTGGATGATGAGCAGATAGAAGTAGTCGAAAAGTTCGTGTATCTAGGTAGCTAGATAAGTGCTGGTGGTCGCGTGAGTGATGAGATCAATGCACGTATAGTAAAAGCCAGAGCGGCTTGTGTCAGTCTGGGTCATCTTTGGCGTCTTCGTGATGTTAGTCTGATTGTAAAAGTTCGGATCTACAACGCGTCGGTGAGAGTGGTTTTGCTCTATGCTTGTGAAACCTGGCCTCTCCGAGTTGAGGACGTTAGACGACTCTCTGTGTTTGATCATCGTTGTCTCCGAAGGATTGCTGACATCCGGTGGCAACACCATGTTAGTAATGCAGAATTTCGGCATCGTGTGTTAGGGCACAGAGGTGATAATGCAATCGATGTCACCATCTTGAAACACCGACTTCGGTGGCTTGGACATGTTCTACAAACGTCGTTCCAGAGACGCTGGGACTGGTTGGGAACAGCGGAGAGGTGGTCGGTGTATGACATGGTGTCGTGGTATGATAGTAAGCTGCAAAGGGCTGGCTTGTGTTGGTCCTTCACGACTCCCTGGCTGGGGTCCGAGAGATGGTGCGACACAGTGGCTAGAGACGTTATCAGATATGGCTCAGAATAGAAGCCAGTGGCGATCCTGCTGTAACCTTTTTTTACTTTCTTCATAAAAAATGGTTGTTTCTTCCTTAAGTGAAAGACTTCCTCTGACTGTATTTTTCCGTTTCCTCCATTATTATTATTATTATTATTATTATTAATATTATTATTATTATAACACCACCTTACACGAATCTGTTCGTTACTGTCCTTTTTTTACGTTCCTTACCTTTATTTTTTCTCCTCGGATTGTCATTGTTTTGTGTGGCGCATATATATTTGGTACTCTCTTATACCAAGATTTATGTGTTCAAATAAATAAATAAATAGATAGATAAATAATATTCCTTGCTCTGAACCTCATTAACAGCCATTACTGATCGTTTCAACCTCTAAATGGTTATGTTTTGTGTCAGTGGCGTAGCGCACAGAAAGATGACGTGAAATCTACTTGTTTTTTTTTAAGTATTCGTATATGTCACTAATGCTAGGAAGGGTGCAGTTGGGTATATCATCTGATTACGTTTTTGAAGCTAGTTATTATTGAAGTTTGCAATTCGTTTATTCACCATGTGGTTTGACTAAGCTATCTTGAACGAACTATAGGTACGAATCTGTATAAGACAATTAATTGTGAATTAAATGCTGACACTTCCAAATGACTAGCTCTAAATCGCTCATACTATATTATCATATGTCTCGTTGCTACACCCTATTAAAATACAATACAAGTGGTTAATCATGGTGAATAAATGTCATACTGTAGTTCCAAACAAAACCAATAACGCGAGTGAAGAAAATCAAATTGAATAAGAGATGTTTCAGTTATGCAAACCCGGTTAAAGCATTTGCAGGACATAAAAATGATAGCTATCCCGGAATATATGTCATCTTAACTGCGAAAATTAAGATAAAATTTAGATCCATAATTTGCTTTATCGTAAGTCAATGTCAGGTTCGTGACTGAACAGCTTAGAGTGAAGAACAGTTCATTTAGTGTAAAATGTTTAGGATGAAAGAAAATTATATTCGAAAAATTTTTATAACCATTTATTTACCTGATATGTATAGTCACAAAACACAAAGTGCATGTCATCATTGGAGGCAGTAAGTTGTACTTCCTAAAGATATGAATATGTTGTTTGTTAAACAAATGAAAAATCCGTAATTCAGCTGTACCTTACAAATTAATTGATCTGTCATATATTCATTTTCTGCAACAAACGATTTCAATTGCTCATAATAAATACGATCCTATAAATGAAAATAAACCTGTGATAAATAATTATAATATAATAACAATAATATTCATTGGTTGAAATAGTGGATTATAATACTTGGACTATCAGGTGTTCACGATCGTTCATGTAGTTAATGTTTTAATTACTATTAAAAACGGAATTAGCTGGAAAATCTTAGGGGATAATTTCAACTTTTCTTGAACTTAAGTTGAATAGAATGGCAACAATTGGTGTGAAGAGCTTTAAATTTATTATTTATATTTTGCAAAGACCAGTGAAAATCCGACTTTTGGGAGTAGTTAACTGATTTAGTTATTCACTACAATGGGAAACTATACACGATTGTTGTAGTCTAGTTAAGAATTTCATATTCTCGATACCATATAGAACCAAACTTTAAGCTATTCTATTACTGAGCAATGAAGCACAGGGATATATTGTTCATTATTCATTGACATCACTAAAGCATTAGTCTGCATCATCAACTTGATAAAAGACCAATGTCAAAACCCAGTATTCACCAATGAAACACCTTAAATGGCAAATATTTCTACACAGTTTGGTGTCCTAACCTATCCGGTGAAACTACTAAACTTTGTTTTACCATATTCCATATACAAGTCACCCTATTTTTGAGAGATAAAATAAACTTTTGGGGATCGAAGTATGCCACATTTAAATCGGATTTCAGCGTTTTGATCTTCGAACTCCCACACTGTTTCACAAGAAAGCAAATGAATTGATCAACTGAGATGGTACCATAAACACTTAACAGATTGTAACAGACAATCATTATATGTGTTCTTCTGCACTCGAAAACTGTAAGTCATAGGTAAATCCAACTGTGTTTTAAGCTTTCCACGTCTCTTTAAAATAATGATGAACTACATATTTGGGATGATTACTGCCCATAATCTTGTTACTTTGTACGCGTTATGCGCACAATTATTAAAGATACACAAGTGACCTGATTACGAGTTGAATAGCTTAGCTAAGCGACTTAACTGAGTTCTCTGTATCCTTTAATTCGACAAGACGAGCCCATGTTAGTGACAGAATATCTTATTGATGAAAAAACTTAAATTAAAACTTGCTGTAAAATTCCAATAAATTTACATTTATCACTGTTGGTGATTTGAAGAGATTGATAGATTTTTTAGTCCTAGTGTGGGATGAAATATCTGTCTGTTCTCAATGGTTCTCTTATTAAGTTTTGATGTAAATTTTGAAACATACTATTTCAATGTACGCGTTAGTATCTTTTAACTACAATATGGATCTATTTAATATAACGTCAGGTAATATGCATAACATTGAATGGGTTAGTTTAGATCTTGAAATGCTTTTATTTTAATCGTAGCTTGAATTACGCAAGCTATTAAACTACTTATTTGGTGAGCTTTGTTTTGGGTGAAATTTCTCGAAACATTCATCGACGAATAGTCAGCAATGTGTTGAACTAACTGCATACAAAAATAGAGATAAATAAGATCAACTGGTGTCTCGAAAATAAATCCAATCTGAAAATGATTTTCAAGGAAGGTGGATAAATATTAAATTTGCCGTGGTTCGATAATAATATTTTGCGATCATGAATCAGCACTTACGTGTTCCGTCACTTTTGCATTTAAACACAAGGCCCACAATCGTGCGCGATAACCCAGTGGGCAGCCACGACGCAAAAACTGTTGTGCCCGTTCAGAAGAGTCAAGACTTATGACTGATATTTTGAAGAAAAAAAGTAGGAATTAGATTCAACAAGATAAATAAAGTGTACCTTCTTTAGCTTCCTGTTCATGTACTAATTCAAAAGTAGACAGCAATGAGTCGTCAACACCAATTTGAGGATTTTTGATATGTAACGGTTCATAAAACCTTCTCTAGTTACTGTAAACAATATTGCGAATCGTGAACATACCAGATCGGACAAATTTTTAACATTTATAGGCAAATTTATTAGACCCCAAGTTGCAGTCATAGATGAATTATAACTATTGAAAAAGGAAAATGATCGTTCCATTATGATATACAAAAGGCTTACTCTTTAAATGTGGATCTCACTTGTGGATGTTTAATACTTGTAAGAACATCTAAAAGATCTTTTGGACCAAATACTGGCTTAATAACTGATTGTTCTTGACACGTTAATATGGAATACGGAATTATTAGTTAGGAAAAATAGCATGACTTTACTGTTAAAAAATACTGATAACTCTGTCCAGTTTTGCAGAACAGCTTCTTTATTACCTTTCGATCTCTTTTAAAAGGAGATAAAACCGTAAAAACCATGTCGCTATTCTACTAACTTTTCTTCCTAGAGGTATTCCAAGCTCTTGACACATTGAATTTAGACTTCGTAACATTTTGCGCTCCCAACTAACCTGAAATAAAGTCAGTAAAATCACTCTCGAATCGGTGAAAATGACACACCTGGGCTTTTTTCAAATAACTACAGCAGCATGAGTTGTTTAAATAATGTTCATTTGCAATGTTTTGTTTTAACTGCAACAAGATGGTAGGCTTGTGTGTAAACGCCCAATTTTTAAGAGCTTGGAAGCTATCACCTTCTAACAGCAATTCGCATACATGATCTATTTCATTGCGAGATGCTCCTTTGAGATCATCAAGAAGCAACTGAAAATAGATTTTTTAAGGCAAGGTTTTACTTTAAAAAGAATTTTAACATGAGGTTGAGCATGAAAATAAATAAATAATAATTCACACTATGATCCAAACAACCCACCATTTTCCCAGGCAACGTTCATTGCATTCAACCAATCACTGGTATGATATTAATAAACAGTTGGATTTTTATATAAGAGCCTTTGTCTAAATTTTATCGAATAGTTTCACAGTATTTGGCACCGAGTCGATGTGAAACGTTAAGGAGAAAGAATGTGTTTGTGAAATCTTGTCAAATTAATTTGAAATAAATCTAATGTTTCACCTGGAAATCTGATTCAGGTTTTTTTCACGGCAACATAGTCAAACAATAAAACTGTTGAATACAAATGAGTACATTGTTCTCTGGTTAACCGTATAGTAAACAGGACATCCAATCATTTTAACAGATACACTCTTTCAGAATTGGATCAATCAATAAAATTGCTAACTTAGCAATACACAGTGTTTTAAAATAAGACCTGTCACTTCATTCGATATAAAAGGAGTTCTATATTGTGTACATGGTGCTGAGATAAATGAACCAAGACTGTGTTAGATAAACTAGGTGAGATAGTGAATGAAAACGTATTCAGCTCGTGGAATCGATGTTTACAAAAACAAGAAGCAAAAAAATGATCATGAGTTCTGACAACTCAAGGCTACTATAATTTATCATAGCATGCTAAATATTTTGTGTTTGAATGAGTCATTAACTTTCATTTGGGGACAATGGGAGTCCAGACACCAACTGAATAGACACTGTACATTAGATTCGTTCCTCGAAGTCACAAAACATTAGTCGATGTGTAGTCATCAGAAATCAATCTGAGTAAAGTAAACGTTCGTACTAGTGTTGGGAATGCTAAGTTCCGAAATATAATAGATTATAGAAAGATAAATCTTCTCTGGTCTCTCTTAACATATCCTATAACCGATGTTATCTTTTTGAGTATTTGGAGCTAGGGAAGAAGAGGGTTGTTGTAATGGTGATTGGAGTTTGTTAGGGTTAGTGCTGTTATGATGCAACGGTAATAAAAACTTACAACAGTAAAAAATAAATCTAGTTATAACTTTGTAATATTTAGCCATACAGCCTTACTTCCTAATCGAAAAAAGGAGATTGTAAATACATGAATTATTTAAATCAACTAAAAATAATTTATACGAATATTCATCAATATTTGAACGAATAGTTTGACATACATGAATAATTTACTTACCAGTGCATCATCCAACAAATTCAATTCTATTCTACTACACTTTATGGCTTTAAAGAGCTCACATATCATAATCTCCTGACTGATAACAAAGTGATCATACATATTTAGACGAATCATCAAGTAAAACGCTGATAAACGTTTTTCCAATAGCTCTCAATTATCACAAATATGATTGATTATTACAAGATAATTTAAAAAGGATGAATCAAATTCTAAAATTGATTAAAGAGACATTTAAGAAAGTGAATCAAAAGTAATGATTATGAATACACAAATTCCTGGTGTATTTTTACAATAAGAATTCTTATTGTCCATTAATAGACAGGAAGGAAATCATCTTAATAAAAATACACAGCATGTCAACTGTTCGACGCATATTCAATAAAGTATGAATACTTTTTACACCACATGGCATAAACTCTGCAAAATTAACCAGACATCATCAAAATTTACGAAAGATATCGTTTACTGATTAATCGACAACAGATATCCAAAAATTTCAAGATTTCTGTTACTGAATGGGACAAGCATCACAATATAAGAAGTTCATATGTGAAGCAGAATTCAGAAGTCAGAAACGATTAGCAAAGATACAGGCCTGAAGTAGACAAAATCTGGCAATGATGCCCAGGCTTCCAATATGAAACACCCGTCTCGCTGTCTGAGACTGGCCTGAACGACGTTTGCGTTCAAATAAAAAAGGCGTGTAAAGTAGCGTATGTCAGTAAATGTTTATATGATAGGAACGATAGTTCTTTCATCTTACTATAACCCAAGTATGCCGACAACTCAGCAAACTCATCAGGTGCACATAGTGTCACATAAAAAACAACCGACTATTATAATAAATAAAAAAGAGTAGTGCAAGACAGTTCACCAAACTAGCCTTTATTAAGGTAAAGTTCACGACGTGTTACAACTCGACATTTTGAAGTGGTTAGGCAGCTCTTGTAACTACTATCATAAAAATGTAGAGCGGAGAAACAAAAAATTTTCAAATTCGTGTGCCTGCAATTGCTCTGCTTTATTTGAGATGTGAGAGGGTTCCGTAATCAGAAATGAAGCTTTTTATTATCGTAACACTATCGTGAACCGTGAATAGAAAACTGATGTGCCTCATAACCCTAGATGCCCAGAACAAAATCACTTCCGATAACGCAACCTACTCTTAAATATGGAGATACAACCTAATATAGATGTTCATTGAATATACACTAAGGATTTAATTATGCTTAAGTTTGTTTGCATATCATTGCATTTATGTGTGTAAAGTACACTGGATACCCTCATTTGAACTTTTCATAGTCAATGGTTTTCACATTAGCTTTATTGAAATCTGTTGAACTAGTCCTGTCTTCAGACTCAGACTTCGTCGACTTACACACGTTTCTTCGATGAAACTGGGGAATTCTAAGAGTTATAAATGGCGACATTCCCTTAAAACGGCTGGTTGCTGAACAGGAGGGTAAGAACACTACAGTGGTTACATTACGAAATGATTCACACTGGTGGACCTGATCAGGATATGTACAAGAATAAGTCTACTATGAACTAATGAAGTCTAGGTAATTTAAAACTACGATAAAACTTTAATTAAAAACGGAGCTGTCTTCTTGCATGTAGAATCTGTATTTGTGTACAAGTGAGTAATATTGATTTATCAACTGTTTGGTTCTGATTGAAGCCACACTAATTTGCTGTCCTTCAAATTCCGTCGTTCAGTTGACTTCGTCTACATATTCCTGGCGAATAGAAATAGATTTCTTTCCAGTCGTGCACATGAATTTAGGCGTCTTCATTCCACGTAGGCTGTCTCCCTGATATTTTTCCTGCTACCTTGCCAGAGGTTTATTAGCGAGTCATTTTTATATTACTGTAGGCGAAAAGATGATTTCCACATTAAAGTTGTCAATGTTATCCGTTCCATGAATAGCCGACAGAAAGGATATTTTGAGGGAAACAACACCAACATGTCTACGTCCGTTGGCGTTTGTAACACCGAGTCCTAAACTACTGAACCTCTTGACTCATATACTCTGTTTTAAGACCTTGATTGTGACGAATCTCATGGAACTACCTAGAAAACTAATACATGAAACTTATTGCTGGACATGAGACTGCATAAGATTAATTCGTAGTTTACGTTCATGTTAATAACTGCCTCGTTCTTAATGGGCATCTGAATTGAATTCCGAATAAGCTATCTATAAAAATGTTGCGAACATTCAGTGTCTGAAGGCTTATAAAAAATCTGCGATTCCAGACCACAAACTTATTAGAATCAGAATTCAGGAAATGGGGATCTTAAATATACAGATTGAAAAGAACCTTATAGAAAACCATACAATGGCTAGTTGTTGCAGTTGTAAATTAGTGTGGTGTACCGAACTGTTACCTAGTGTGAATGCACGAGTGAACGCTTCTAGCTAATGTGTGTTGGGCATTACTAGGCGGCTTGTTACAGTGTTAGAGCATTGCGATACTAATTGCTTTGAGAATTCGTTTCTGCTCGATGCCAACTATTTATAAGTCTAAGAATCTGCAACAGCTTAGGTTGGTTGGTTAAGAGTTCATCTTAAACAAATAAGCATATGTCAAAACAGTATAGTTCAAGTATTCATTCACTTCCTTATTTTGTATAGGCGTTATATTTCCTATTACCTTGTATTGAATGTTGAGAGGATTTGTTTGTCTGAACCAAAAATCCGACGCTTCACTGTGACTGTCTGAAGATCTAAATAAAGACTCATTCACTTCTTGCCTGGTTTCTTCTATCAATAGCACGAGGGCTATCTAGAGGCACGAAAAATCTCTATGTTCTTTCACAACGCACATTTTTAGGCCGGTTATTGTCTAACAGCATAATTTCGCCATATTTGTCAAATATTGTGAGTTACATTGTGATAGTAAATACTATCACGTTTCAATCAAAAAGCTTTCATAAGAAGGCTACTGGTCCTAGTAGAAGGCTCTAGTGCAGCCAATATTAATGTTGTAGCTAGTTCACTTCAAATCAATGGTAAAACAACTAGGTTTATGATGAAGAACTTTGAAGGAAACTTCATATGTAATTTACAGAGGTTTCGCGGCACACGAGCGTTGTGTACTATGTCGTCAGGCAGGTCGTTCGTAAAGATCAGTCTTTTGCGGTTGATTAAAAACAGGATTAGATAAACTCATAGTGTCTGCGAGCCTGTTCGTGTGGGCCTTTAGATACACGCTCTCGTTGGGTAAGATTAAGGATCCCCAAGATTTCCTTGAAGTCGGACTGTGGTTCCATAAACGAGTTGAAGTGCAGTGTAACCAATTTCGGTTTTTCCTGAATTGCGAAAAATAGTAAAACGAATGGTCGGTCCATTGTGAAAATTTTTCATCTGAGAATAGAGCCCTTGACCGTCTGTCAAAAATCGATCTTAAACCGTTCAGTTTGTAGATGGCAGATGGTCGTTCGGATCCATGGGTTTCCTAGTAACGTACCAGAACAAATGAAATGTCAATATTCGAATCAATCTGTAGGATTGGTATAATCGCATGGGGAGGATTTATGTAACTTCCTACACATACATCGACGAAATCACGGGTCAGTGATTCGCAACTAACGACTTTGATAGGTATTCGTTCTAGAAACCCCATAAAAGGAACCGTAATAATTAAGAAGTGATAATCTTTAATTGCATCAGTTTGGCGATCGGCTAAATCAAAATAAACTTGTTGGAAACGAGCACTGGGAGTTGTGAAAGAGCCCAATTGATGTATGGACAAAAAAGTGAGTGATGATGTCACAGGTATTCAGTGTTTGACAACGCTTCTACCAGTAACACCTTCTAATATATTTCGTTCCCGCCCAGAGAAATCAAAAGACAGAGTCGAGGAGATTGGAAGAGTATATTTGGCGATGACCAATATATCGGAATTCTCTGATCTAAACTGGCTAGCGATTGCGGTTGATGTTGAGCACGGCGTTACCACACGTGATCTGGTGCGGATGCCTGACCGAGCGCCTTCAGCTAAATGAGTCCACTAAAACATATGGTCAGCATCCAATGTCGAAAACCTAGTGCTATTTATTTTGGGGATTTATTTACCGCTACAGATCACTCCCTCCCTAGTGGGGCAGTGACGACCCTAAGACGTGGCCAGCCAGAAGTTTAAACCCAACGAGTTTGTCGTTGGTAAACACTCTTCTGATAGCTTACTAAATTTAGCAGCGTCTGGTCGTCTTTCCTTACTATATGAGACGGAAGTACAACATAGTAAAGAAAGAAAATGTACAATGAAAATTTCGGATCCTCATAAACGTCATCGTTCTTTTCCAGCCGTCCTGGAAAAGAAAAAAGAAAATGTAAGTGCATGTCGAAACTAACTCGTATGTGCGTAAAAAACACAATGTCGGCGTAAAAAAATGGAAAATAAACTCATGAACACGTAATAGCGTTTAAAAAAATTGATTTTGTTTGTTGTTTTTTTTAAATAGAATTAAAAATATATAAGCATATTAAAATTTTTTTAAAAATAATATAAAATGTCGAGAAGTACCTTGCGTGCAATAGTCGTTTAAATGTTCTGGAAATCTCACCCTTCTTCCAGAACGCGTCGTTTTAAGTTTATTTTCGGATACTGTCGAAGTATCATCGTGTGTGTTGGTTGTCGAATGAGGTATTATAAGTGTCAGAGTCGTGTCGTTCGATTGTACCGAAGGAAAATCGACGTGGATAGGATTTCCTTCTAAATACGCTGCTTTTAAGCGATCGATGCTGATGCTATCATTGGTTCCGTTCTTATCGACTATATAGTACTTAGATTCACGTTGAAGAACTTTGAAGGGTCCTTCGTATGCTGATTCGAATGGTCGTCGATGCGAGTCTCGACGAACGAAAACGTGTGTACTATATCGTAAGTCAGGTTGAACGAAAACATCAGTTGATTGAGGTCGAGTGGAAGCAGGTTTAACTGAACACATTGCGTTTGTAAGCCTGTTCGTGTAGGAGGTTAGATCCATGTTCATTGAAGAGGATGAAGGATCCACGAATTCTCCTGGAAGTCGAAGTGTCGTACCATAAACGAGTTGAGACGCAGTGTATCCAATGTCAGTTTTCACTGCATTGCGGATACCTAGTAAGACGAGTGGAAGAGCGTCGGTCCACTGTGAAACGTTTGCTGCTGATAGCGAAGCTTTCAGTTGTCGGTGAAAACGTTCTACCAACCCGTTTGCTTGTGGATGGTAGGCGGTCGTTCGGAAGCGAGTGCTTCCTAAAAATGTGGTCAGACGACGGAAAAGTTCAGATTCAAACTGATGTCCGCGGTCTGTGGTGATGGTTGAAGGGCAGCCGAAGTTTGCTACCCATCGTTCGACGAAGGTGCGGGCCACTGTTTCAGCAGTGATGTCCTTGATAGGTACTGCTTCTGGCCATCGAGTGAAACGGTCTACGCAGGTTAAGAGATAAGAGTATCCATTTGAATCTGGTAAAGGTCCTACCAAATCCAAATGAACATGGTCGAAACGAGCATCGGGAGTTTTAAACGAGCCTAAGGGACATTTATTGTGTCTTATAACCTTAGATTTTTGGCAGCTTACACAGGAGCGTGCCCACTCCCTCACGTCTTTATTCATTCCAGGCCAGCAAAACCTTTCTGCTATAAGCTTGATGGTTGCACGAACACCTGGATGCGAAAGTTTGTGCAATGTGTTGAAGACATTGCGTCGATAATGTTTCGGCACGATTGGGCGATCCCTACCTGTAGATGTGTCACAAAGTAAGGTTTCCTTACCTGTTCCCATCTGTTTGATGCGTAGTTTAAGTGTTGTGGACGATAACTCGTGCTGAAGATCAGTGTCTTCTTTTTGAAGCTCGGCGAGTTTAAGAAGGTCGATTCCTTGGAAACTGTTCAAGGAAGTTATACGAGATAAAGCGTCTGCAACTACATTGTTTGCTCCAGAGACGTGTTGAATATCTGAAGTAAACTGCGAAATGTAGTCCAGTTGTCGAGACTCACGGGGAGAGTACTTGTCAGAAGGAGAGCTTAACGAGAAAGTGAGCGGTTTATGGTCCGTGAAAAGAGTGAATTCACGACTTTCGATGTAGTGTTGGAAATGCCGTACAGCACAATACATAGCTAGGAGTTCCCTACCGAATGTGCTGTACCTCGATTCGGTGTCTAGCAACATTCTAGAGAAAAATGCCAAGGGTTGCCAGGAGTTGTTAACCCATTGTTGTAAGACTCCTCCGATTGCTGAGTCGGATGCGTCTACTGCGATGCTAATGGGTGCTCGGGTGTCCTGATGTGCGAGCATTGTTGCTTTAGCAATCAGTTCCTTAACTGTGGAGAATGCTTTTCGTGCGGTGTCGTCCAAATTAATGGATTTCGCATTTCCACGAAGTTGGTCGGTCAGAGGTTTCATAAGTAGTGCGCATTTGGGTATGAAACGTCTATAGAAACTTACCAGGCCCTTAAACGTGCGCAATTGCTTGACGGTGGTCGGTTCTGGGTAATCCAGAATGGCCGCCACTTTGGTCCTAAGAGGTCGAATGCCTTGAGCATCGATAGTGTGTCCTAGGAAGTCTAACGAGTCGGTTCCGAATTGGCATTTCTGAACGTTTACAGTTATGCCATGTTTTTGAAGTCGTTCGAAAACAAGATCCAGATGCTTGAGATGTGTTTCTCTGTCCGGACTTGCGATTAGACAGTCATCAACATACGCGTGTACGAAGTTGGGACCTCGAAAAACGTCGTCTATGAATCTTTGGAATGTTTGAGCAGCATTCCTTAGACCGAAAGGCATTCACAAAAATTCATAGAGTCCGAAGGGAGTTATGATAGCCGTTTTCGGTATGTCGTCAGTAGCCATAGGGATTTGGTTATACGCTTTAACCAAGTCGATTTTCGAAAAGACAGTTGTACCTTTCAAGGTAGCTGTCAAATCGTGAATGTGAGGCAACGGGTAACGATCGGGAATGGTTTTAGCGTTCAATCGCCGATAGTCACCAGTTGGACGCCAATCGTTGCTGTCCTTTTTAGGGACCATGTGCAACGGAGATGCATATGGGCTACTTGACGGTCGTATGATTCCTAAGTCCATCATGTGATCGAATTCGTTTTTCGCTAACCTTAGCTTTTCAGGAGCTAGTCGGCGTGCTTTAGAAAATACAGGTGGTCCTGTAGTCGTGATGTGATGTGTAACATTGCTGGTTACACACGGTAGTTTCGTTTGAGTTTGTTGTATCTCAGGGTACTTATCGAGTAGTGGTTGATAGAGTGGGTTTATCATATGTTTAACTGTGACTGGGGATACTCTACAACCAGTAAAAGAAGTTACGCAAACGGACAAATTAGTGTTCCCGTCTACTAGCCTCCGTTTGCGAGTGTCGATGATCAGATTGTGGTGTTGTAGAAGGTCCATACCAATGGTTGGCATAGAAACATCTGCAACAACGAAAATCCAGTGGATGGGTTTGCGTAAACCCACGTTAAGGTAAACGTACCTTTTGCCATACGTAGCGATCGGTTTTCCGTTTGCCGCCTGTAAGTTTAGGGTCGATTCGTGTAGTCGGTCGTTAGGATTTGCTGGGAGAACGCTAACTTCTGCGCCAGTGTCGACGAGGTAGCGAACTCTCGTTGTCACATCTGTGACGAATAACAGACGGCTTTGTTCGCCGGCTACGGTTGCCGTTAACGCGTGCCGGCTTGGAAGTTTCCCGAATTGTTTTTCGAATCAGTCGGTTTCGTGTTGGGAAAATTGCAGGGTTTTCTGCAATTTCTGGAAAACTTTCCATACTGGTTATGATACAAGCACCAGTCGGGGTTATCTGTCTCTCGTGGTCTAGAGACAGATCGCTTACGAGAAATGCTTCTACGTGGTGTGCGCGATCTCTTACGGTCGGTACGAAGACTAAGATAACGCGTGAGTGTGTGACATAAGTCGTTTATATCATTCCGAGTCGTTTGAGGTTTTTCTTTGACTGAAAATACCTCGGTAGTAGATTTCGTAATTTCTAAAATGCGGTCGGCAGATGCAGCTAGCTCGTCTAAGGCGTTGTTCTGGAACGAGACCAGAACTGCTTGCACCTGTTGGGGAAGTTTTGACAAGAAGAGTTGTTTGAATAGGCCTTCGTCGAAAGTTCTTGGGCCTATAACCTCTCTCATCCGTTGCAACATGTCTGTCGCAGAACCGTGTTGCAGGTCGATATTGTTGAAGAGTTGATCTAACCTTTGTCGATCGGTTAGGTCTCCTCGTTTAAGAATCGAGCGTTTTAAGATTTCGTAAGGATCGGAAACATCACTAGTAAACATACTAGGTGTTACGTACCTGTTGAATTCGCGCGGTAGTGCCTTGACTACTGCGAGGAATTGTGCACGTGTGTCGATCACGCCGTGCTCGGAGAAGTCGGCTTCTGCGTAGCAAAACCAGGCTTCGATGTTGTCGGGCCAGAAAGGCATCAGTTGAAACGAAGGCGGGGACAAAGTCTTAAGCTTGAGTACTTTAGGTGTCTGTTCAGTCATGACGAAGTATGAAGTACGATAATGAACGAGGGGAAAATATATATATCCAGGAAAAACCACGAAAAAAAATCACAATGTTTAAAAAAATAAAAAAATAAGGCAATGATATATAAAAATCCCAAAAAGGAACAGACTCACAGTTGCAATTAGGTGTACCAGATCACGTCGGTTTCACCAATGATGATGTCACAGGTATTCAGTGTTTGACAACGCTTCTACCAGTAACACCTTCTAATATATTTCGTTCCCGCCCAGAGAAATCAAAAGACAGAGTCGAGGAGATTGGAAGAGTATATTTGGCGATGACCAATATATCGGAATTCTCTGATCTAAACTGGCTAGCGATTGCGGTTGATGTTGAGCACGGCGTTACCACACGTGATCTGGTGCGGATGCCTGACCGAGCGCCTTCAGCTAAATGAGTCCACTAAAACATATGGTCAGCATCCAATGTCGAAAACCTAGTGCTATTTATTTTGGGGATTTATTTACCGCTACAAGAGTAACGATCAAAAATCTTATAGAGTATCTCCATTTCATTTATCTATTATTTATGGCTTTTCTGAGATTAGGAATTAGGATTTAAATTAAGGTTTTTCATCACAAACAGACGTTGATTGTGTTGTCGAAACACTGTTTATCTGTAAGTATAAATAATTCTCGCCCCGAAACCTTTGACTCTGTTCTTGATTTCATCATTTCGTGCATGAATTATAATTTACCTTTTCAAACGTTCTGAAGATAGACATTAGAAAGTCGGTTGCAGTGGTAAGTTACTTCCCTGCTTGTATGTTAGAATAGTCTGTAATTTGCAGACCACTATTTTAAGGCGTTTGAGTCTGATCACAGGAACACCTCATCACATCTTAGGGTCATATAAACCAGTTGTGGAATGTTATGATTTAAATTTTGACGTTGCAGTTCGGTAAGATGCACGGTTATCTATCCAGGAATTTGTTTCAGTTTACTGATATCTATAACATTTGCCAGTTGTATGCCCTTCATTTGATACAAATACCTATAATTTATTTCTTAAAAGTCGTATGATGACTTTCTTGCCTTAGTTTGTTCATTCACTTAACTGCTAGTGTCTGTTTTCTCTTAACTTTAAAATCATGTCTAGGAGCCCTGTAGTACCCCAGGATCTTAAGAAAACTAATGCACGAATTCAGTTATTTATTTATTTTAACACATAGGCACCAAATACTTATGCGCCACACAGGTATCATTTGATATGTATAAGGGCTGTGATACTGCCCGGGTGTCCAGACCGAAGCAGGTAGTTTTCTCAGGGGGCCACACCCCGAGCCTTTGACCTAAAGGTCTGATCCACAAGGCAGTGGAGCATCGTAAGGAGATGCAGTTCCATGGTAGCCGGTGATCAACGATTGGTTCATGCGCCATTTGTCCCCGCAGGATACTGGAGCTCGTGTGCACCATTGGTTTAGGATCCGGTTAAAGGACCGGACATTCGCTTTTCGTCCTCTCATTTTCGTAAACAACACCCTCGCCACGAGAAGGCAGTGAGTAGGACTTCCCTAGCAGAGGCTGTATACACGTGGCCATGTGAGAGCGTTTGCGGAGCGAGAGAGGACTCTCCCTACTCTCGGCCATACCAGGGCATTTGGGGGTGACGAAGATAAATAAGCTGCTCTGTATAACTAGTACACTGCAAACTAGGAGATTAATTCTTATCCATTATTTTCTAAGATGGACTAGTTTGGTGCTTTGGATATTATATATATATATATATAACCTTCAGTTTGGTCAATATAGTATCCAGAGCACTAGCTTCCATAATCATCTGACGTCTAACCGGAGGCCAGGAACATCTAATCAAGACACGGCACTAGCCGACAGACCGATGTTCGTTTTGAGAAGCACGAACTACATTGTTGTAGTGTGTGTGATAATCATGACAAACGGTTGGGAACGTGAGGTGACATTTTCAATGCAATTTGAGTTGCGTATACATATGCACGTGCTCATTCTTAATTCTCTCTTTCTTTGCTGACTTAGTATGGAAACGTGCACCTATGTAAAACAAAGTCGTATCAGATAATACGTTGTTTTTGTTTAATCGACGTAAATAAAATCTGTACACTTAACTCTACAGTCTAAATTAGCTGGGATTCGTACGGTTTAGCGAATTTTAACTTATTGATCCTCCTTTATGTTTTTAGATATCTCTCAGTAGCCTAACACTTCAAAATGCTTTCAGAAAAACGTATAAAAGTAAGGTATTCAACAGACCCAAATGGGAATCTTTGGGCTGACGATCCCAACAATTTTGGCAGAAAAATGCTAGAAAAATATGGTTGGTCTCCTGGAAAGGGTTTAGGAAAAAACAACAACGGTATTAAAGCCCCTATAAAGGTATCAGTTTATTTTCTAAAAGGCTTTTTAGGCTTCCATACAGAAAGGCACACGGGGGTTGGGTATGAAGTCGGACTTTTGTTTGGGTATCCGGCAGATTAATGAATACGCAAGTCTTCTGCGTAAGCTTAACAACGCCCACAGTAGTTCTGACAAAACAAATGCAATCAGTGAATGTTTACCAACGAGTTGGAGGAAAGGTATGAAGACTTTAAGGTCAAAGGATGCATCTAAGTATGATCAGCAAGATCTATCCATTGTTCTTGGACATACTCAGTCATTTTTGGAAGAAAAAATAGCCTCGCCAAATGCTCCTGCAAAGGAATCTGGTTTTCAAATTCCTAGTGTGATAAGTCCAATGTCTGTCTCCGAATATTTTGCCAAAGCAAAGAAACACAGACTCCAAAGCGAGCCACAAACTTGTGGTGTGTTGTATTTTTTACTTCATTAGATACCTTAGATTTGGTTGATGTCAAGTCAGCCAAGTCAATTGAAATTATCGTCCCGGTTGATCAACACGTTACATCAGTAAGTTCCAAACTTTGTATTGATTATCATGATAACAAGAACTCTGTTTCAGTAAAGATCAATGATAGCGAAGGGTTCGAATGTAGGAAAATTGAAGAGATATCAAACCATGAAGACGTCGAACTGATCATACCACCAATAGATCCTGATAAAAAAATAAGGCGTGTGGAAACTGTAAATGCAGGAGAAAGTATGTAATGTCTTATGGTGACTTACCTTTTTTCTTAGATGTCATTAATTCTCTATTCGTGCAGTCCAACTTATTGTCGATGCCTGGGTACTGTTATTACTAATTATTTTTGAGTAAAAATTGTACTGACCAGTTTGTTGTTATATTCATGGCAATCTCAAAGTAACAAAGAATCGTATCTTGTATGTATTGCTAAATAATGGTGAGGTAACACTTACGTAAGGTCATTCGATGTTTTCTTCAGTTTCTAGTAGTTGCGTTTTTATTATTTTGAAGCGCAGAAACCTAGTGTTTTTGCAGCTAGGTAACTACGCTTACTCTCATATTGCTATGTGATTATATAGTTATACATGTTATAACGATTAAAAAAGTAATTTCTGTATCCGTGACGTGGTCGTTAGACGACTTTAAACCTTATAAATATTTAATGATTGAAATACGCTGTGTTATGCTATTCTGGGTAGGATAAAAATAAGTCGGAGAATAGTTAGGAGTGGTTAAAGCAATATTTAATATCAGCCCATGAAGCTATTGGCGTTTGATCTAAGTTGTTTCAGTAATTTCGAATTATGTTACAGTCCTCAGAGTAATTGTACTTTATTGTTCAAGACTTCAAGTGGCACGGCTAACTGTCGAGCAAGGTGTTGCGAATGGGCTCTATCATTATTCTGAATCTTCAGCTTAGTATCATGTGTAGGTTTTCGGAACCACTGATACCATTATTTTGACTAATTTGCTTTTTATTCCAGTAAAGTCCTTCCACTATATTCATGTAGTTTGGCAAACTAAACCAAAAAAGTTTGTGCCAATTCCGATTTTATATAACATAGGCTGCTTGGTCAGTCATCCTTATATATATATACAAAGCGATACTTAAAATGGCATGGTTAAATACAGCATATGGTTACTAGTACATAAATGGTAAACATAAGTGGTCGATCACTTGTTCTTTGGCATAATACTACCACTCATGTAATTTTAATTCGCTCCTTATAAATAACCGGTGATTTGATTTTATTCCGAAGTACCAGTATAATATTTTGCATAACGTACCGTGTTAAATCACCATTGATGCATCAAGACTAAAAGAAGAAACTTGCTAAATCATAGTACTTCTGACTACACAGAAATATATCGACTCAACACTTAACCGCTCAAGAGCGAGCAACCTTAAAAAATAGGTGATTAGAAAGGTCACCATCATAGTACCAACAGAAAAAGGTAGTTATGGACATCAAGAAGGCCAGTGACCTACTCAAAGACAAGTCTATAACAACCATTAGTGAGAAATCCTATTAAAAAATTAGACAGCTGAATCGACAGAACTCTAAGCGAACTCGTCAAAGACAAACTACGAAACAAGATCAGTGACGAACAAAATCCACTACAACAGATCAAATTAAATACTTCATTACAAAGTATTGTTACGGCTGGACAGTAACATACATTTTGTGCAAAGAACTCTAAATGATAATAAAAGACAGAATCTTGTGATCATTCTATGGATTCCTCAACTTAGTCCCCTGACTGCACAAGTTTCTTATAACTCACTCTTATTCAACAAACATACGAGTGAAACTAATAGGATCCCCTATTTCACAAATAATTGCAGATAGCGTGATGCAAAGACTACAAAGCACATTTCTACTAGCAATCGAACTGAAGATTTAAATACGTAGATGACATTCGTTAGTTCGGAAATGCTTAGAATTTTATCAATAACATCTTCAATAATATCAAACTTACAAGTCAAAAAGAAGAATAAGTTAAAACTTTCCTTGAACGTTTGACTCAACAGAAATACAGTCAGACAGCTACAACGTAGGACCAGGCACATTTATGCATCGGTAAAAGTTGCCATACCTCATTAACACAACAAGATCAACACCGGATTCATAAAAGTAGTTATTTCAGAGGTGGTAATATATAAAAGAAAGATTGTGATAAGGATATAGTGCAGAAAGAAAGGATTAGTTCGTAGAAAGAAAGATATGAAGTGATTTTAATCTCTTAGTTTAAGGGAAGACAGTGAGTGTATACACCTACGCCATAGTGATCGATTCAAAGCCGTGTTACCAAGAGTCTCTAACCATGGTTACGATAGTCACGCGGACCCCAGCCGAGTAGTTTGCATCTAACAACATGGCTCACACTAAAGTTAGTGTCTTCAAGCACTGATGCCACGTTTTGGTTTCGCCGCCCTTAACTTTCTTCCAACCGTCTCCAACACCGGTTAGCATTGCACGTCGTGGTAATCGGTGTTCAGACATACGTAGCACGCGGCCCAACCATCTCAGTCGATGAAGATTCATAACCTCATCAACTGATTTACCATCATTCCCTAATAACCTGCCTCTAACCTCACTATTACTTACCCGATGATCCCAGCAGACGCCAGCAATGTTTCTGGGGTATCTGTGGTCAAATACTAATAGCTTATGAGTGTCTTCCACTATTAATGGGCATGTTTCGCTGCCGTGAATTAAAACAGAACAGACTGCCGCGCAGTATACTCGTCCTTTGTTGATAGACGAATATCTCGTCTTCGCCATAGGTGACGTAAGTTGGCAAAAGCCAAGTGAGCTTTTCGAATCCGTGCTGAGATTTTGTCAGACACCAACCCATTAGGACTGATCAGACTTCCAAGATAAGTGAAGTTGTCAACGCGTTTGACTACTTCACTCCCTATCCTTAGTTCATGTGTTGATGCAGACCAGTCCTGAAGCAGCAGCTTGCATTTAGAGGGAGATAAGCGCATTCCGAACATTGTTGCTTAGTGCTACCAAAAAACTCTGTATTTTATCAGCGTCTCCACCAAACAGGACTATATCATCTGCGTATTCTAAGTCGATAAGTGAACCTCCTGGAAGAAGATCAATACCCGAGAATTCAGTGGACGAGAATGTTATTTCCGTCAGGTCTATGATGAAGTTAAACAACACGAAGAATTGGAACTCATCTTCAGTTCATCTCCCTCAAGAATAACTACCCTACCCTGACATCTAAAAACGTCTGACATACAACTAGAATACCAACCCTAGAAAACGGAAACAGATTTTCTTACCACATTTAAGAAATATCGCAGAAACCTGTACAATGATCCTAAGGCCCTATGGAATTACATTCGCTACAAAACCAATACAACCACTTCATCGCATTGCATATAAAATACAAATCTAACCTAAACAAAGTAGATTGCATCAACTGCTATATTAGAACAAGTGGGTTCTCCTTTTACTTACGTATAATCGAATCGGGTAAAACTTGATAGTGTCATGTAAATTGTGGTTAGTTGGCAGCCAACAGCCATATCGATCTAAATCTATGAACACATATGGGGAATGTTAAACAATTGCGAGGCCAGAGGGTCAACCGACAAAGTTATCGCAAATACAAGGACGAATGGATACGACAAACATAAACTACGGCAAACAAACCCATCTAGATGAACTGATATAATACTTTGGGAATAACTAGGAAGCTCACTCCCACACAAAGCATGTATTGATAAAATACTTCAGTGAGATTTCTTGGACTTGATTCCTAAGTAACATTAACGGCTAGTCATTGTCAGTATAAGTCAAGAGTATTTCCTGTTGGCGTTTTTTGTTTCGTAGTTTTATAGGTGATTCATTTCTGGCTCACAGAGCAAATCCTCAGGAGATTACTGTTGGACCTCCATACATCCCACCACCATTAAATTTAGTTTTATACTCTATTAAGTGTCGAATATGGAGCATAACCACCTAGCCAAGGATGCAAGTTTGCATACCTCATTATTATTGACGAAGCAATTAAAACCTTGTCACACTAGGACATTGTAGTGAGCTCAACTTCTCAAGCTGAATTCGTGAATAAGCCCACTTAGATAGCTTCCGAACAAATTTGCTAACCACCATTTCCCGCTATCTTACCAGATCATCAGTGCACATCTTCAGAAGTTTATCTGGATTGCAGCCCTTCATATACTGTTATCTAATCGGACAACTGTTTTCGGAATTGTACCAGTAAATATTCATTTGACTACAACTTTTTATCCTATTCATATATGAACAGCTTCCATTTATCGTAACACTATCTTGTTCACCTGCCAGCCACTCCTAACGAGGACCGGGTAAATGGACGTTGATAACACACTATTTTCGACAATATGGAGACAAAATAGTTGAGGTGATAATATCTGAGCGACTCAGTCTTTTTGCAGATGCTGCCAGTTACCAAACAACATGAACCCATAGATGATTAGCGCGCTGGGCTTAATGTAACTACGTCCAGCAAGCGGAGCAGTCCAGTGCACATGACAGCAAATCCCTATATTTTTAGGAGTGGGGTGCTCCACATGTTTACTGACCTCATTCTCTTCTTAGTCTTTGAATATCGCGACTGTTTAATTCAATAGGCTGTGAGATGGAAATAAACTCACCCATTTGAAAAGAATACTTCAGATTTTAAACTTGGCTGATGTAAGCTACCACACCTAAGGGCTTATTTCTCGGTCGACTTCGTCATCATTTTAGTTAATTCCAGGTATGACCAACATTCCTCTGTCAGAGATTATTATACCGCAGTGAATTTTATGGAAACAGTTCGATAAAACTAGATACTAAGCCTTCGTAAGTCAAGCTAAGACAATGACCTAAAAAATCATTTCGTCAGGTGGAATTTTGTTTAGTATTTTCATGAAACACTGATTTAAAGACCATTGTGACAATTAAGAAATTCATAGTTTTTAAATCAAAATATTCATCAATTTCGAATTTATTACATGAATTTTAGGCTTTTTCCAATAATAAATCATCTTTGACGTGTTCTAAGTTCTCAGCGCAGCCAGTTTTTGACATGACGAAATCGTCTTCTACTCGCATACCGATGCCCAGAAAGTCTCTCGAAACGCCCAGTTTCGCCAACTCATCTCTGAAGTAAATACCTGGTTCTAAAGGGAACACAACGCCTGCTTCGAAACGTTTTGTACTAGGTATCGTAGGAGTATCATGAATGTCTAAACCAAGATAATGTCCGACATGATGTGGACATATCTTTTGTGCAACCTGAATTTTAAAAATAAAATTTTTGCGTAAGGTCGGTTCAAAATCGTAATATGTTTCATGGTAACATATTTCGAGAAAAAGCAGAATAGTTTGCGTTAAAACTGATCTAGCAGTTTGTCTAAAGCATACAAGTTTTGAAATCTATACTTCAAGTCCAAATCGTGTTTGTTATAAAGTGGCAACCGTGAAGAAAGTGCTTCTGTGCAGTGCCTAGTAACAAAAAATATCTGGTGACAAAATAGACAAGATATTTTCCGGCGAACTTGTGAATCTGAGTTCTAGGTTGTCGCCACTGAATTAAATCACATTTGTCAGCAATTTGGATTTCATGCTAAGGTGAAGTGCTAAGCCCCACGATTAGGAAACTCTCAATTTGGCTAATTTCATATGATCATACAAGCCCTTTCATAAAAACGTTTACTTGCGATTATTATTAATAATGTCTTGCGTTAGATGAATTACATATATCGAAACCTTTGGCAAGAATAATAATAGAAATGAACAGTCATGTTCAGCATATTAAGTAAGTCTTTAAACACGTTTCGTACTTGCAGATCCACGTACTCGACCTCAAGTCACACTATGTGAGGACCAGTAATACTAGGCAGCTCCCCGAGAGAGGTGAAGTGGGGTCAATCAGCTGCAACATAGGACCAGGCACATATATGCATCGGTCCAACTCGCCACACCTCATTAGCACAAAATGAACACCAAGTTCATAGGAATATTCACTTCAGTGGTAGTAATATATAAAAGAAAGATTGTGTATAAGAATATAAAATTGGAAGAATTAGTTCACAGAAAGAAAGGTATAAAGCAAAGCATGTATACGCCGACGCCACTGTGATCGATTCTAAGCCATGTTACCCATAGTCTCCAACCATTGGTTGCGATGGTCACTTGGACCTCAAGCAAATAGTCTGCATCTACCAACATGGCTCAGGGTGAAGTGGGTTGTGAACTATCAATTGGAAGTTGTTTTTATATCGTATAACCACCACTTCACTTACAAAGGATATTCGAATTGAACGAAGTATGTACATTTGAGAGATCACTTATTACAGGTACATAATGGATTTGGCGCTTAAATGCGTATCTATATACCTAATATTATGGAAGTTTGTCGTTCATATTTGAAAGGATTTACGCTCGAAACTACATGCGAGCCAATAATTGTTGTTAATCAATGTAAGTGGAAATCAAATACTTTTATCAGTCTTTATGAAAATGCGTATCAAAGGAGCTTGCAAATTCTTTGCAGCATATATATCTGGTGCCCCTCGTACCAATATTTATGTGTTCAAATAAATAAATAACTCATTTCACTTTACTATGATGTAGCGACTGTAAGAACAGTAAAATTCTGATTTAAACTTCTATTTATTTCTGTTCAATTTAAATCAAACCACAACCATTAATAGATTGCTGTGTAGTAGATCATTTTAAGATCAGCAGCAGATGATATGTGTATATGAAGACAATAATGTCCATAGCAAGAGGAAACTTGGATCAAGTTCAAGGTGTTGGAACAATCGTATGTCAATTAAGTATAAGATCATGGAAATACCGATAATAATACTAATGGTAATATGTAACTATGAAGGAATTTGATTAGGAGGTAAGTATCTATTTAAAAAAATTAACTTACATGCAACTTGTCCTGGTCTGGGATAATCCCCTCACTTATTAAGTGTCGTCCTATTTCAGACAGCATATGATGATATACATCTTGCAGACTTTGTTCAGGAGAGGCTAAAGATGCACATGAGTTCTGTACATCAACTAATATTTCATGTATAACTTTTTGGGGTGCCGAAAAGTTTCCTAATGAATAAACAGATTTTAATATGTAATTACATTGTTTTGGATTTGACCTAACTGAAACATTCACCAACTATAATGGAGTAAGTAGGTACTAATGCACGTTTTACTGAAAGTGAAACTTAATATAAGGCATCGGTTAAAAAGTTATTTAGTGGTAGGAATAAGGCGTCATACCTGTCTAGCCCTATATCTCAAATATCATAAGTGGAATGAGATTGGATAATTCATCAAACTGACACAAGATCACAGATACTTCTTTAAAATGAGAAATCGAAATAACCTGGTACGACCAGTGTCTTACAAAGCTTTGATTATTTGTATGAACATATCCACGAGAATGAGTAAGGAGTGTGGTTATGCTGCATCATAAAAACTATAGAAGTTGAGAAAGCGATAAATATTGACGGTATTTACCATAGAATTAAAAGGAGTTTAGTAGACAATTAAATTACTAACATTCGTTCATTGAATATCAATTATTAATATCACAGTTCCACATACACTCATCTATTTTCACCGTGTGTACTTTTCACATTTATTTGTACGGACTAATGATTCTGTTGTACTTAAACACCTGTTTATTTCGGATTCCAAATATAATACATTCATTTCGGGAATTCCTATTTAGCATGATGATTCGAATATTTGTGTGTGGGGGGCTGTGATACTGCCCGGGTGCCCAGAGCGAAGCAGGCAGTTTTCTCAGGGGGCCACACTCCGAGCCTTTGACCTGAAGGTCTGATCCACAAGGCCGTGGAGCACCGTAAGGAGATGCAGTCCCATGGTAGCCGGTGATCAACGATCGGTTCATACGTCATTTGTTCCCGCAGGATACTGCGGCCTATGTGCACCATTGGTTTAGGATCCGGTTAAAGCGCCAGATATTCGCCTTTCATCCTCTCATTTTCGTAAACAACACCCCCGCCACGAGAAGGCAGTGAGTAGGACTTCCCTAGCAGAGACTGTATACGCGTGGCCGTGTGAGAGCATTTCGACAGGGAGGGTTGGCCCGTCCCATTCTCGGCCATACCAGGGCATTTGGAGGCGCATATATACTTGGTGCCCTCTTGTACCAATATTTATGTGTTGAAATAAATAATAAATAAAAATGATTCGAATACCTCTAATTATCATGCTTATCCTATGTACCAAAGTTAACACTTGAATATCATTGGACAGGCATTTAATGTAGATTTGATTTGGTTTCTAAACGTCACATGCTTTTCGATAATCTTGATTTCGGTTATTACTCTGAAGAAGTCTAGACAGATTTTTTTGACAAAAAGTCGTAGTATTTCAAATTTCTAATATAATTTAAACAATTTGTTTTTGAACTTGCCGTACTGACCTTACAGGCTTTTAATACTTGTGTGCTAGGAATTACCATTTGGTATAAATGACTAAGATATTTTGAGGCTACATGTTGTGAACGAGGCTATCAATGGCATGACAATTCGTGAGATCCAGTTAGTTGGAAAAACCTAATTAAATCTGTCTAGCTTTAATTTTTTTAATTTGCAAGCTTCAGAATTTTCAAGTGTTAAAATTAAGTAAGCGAAAACACTTCAACATACCGTTTACTGGCCAAGTTCGAGTAATATCGGACGTATACCCGTTAAAGCGACATCCAGCATCCACCAAAACCAATTCCCCATTCTCAATTCTCATATTGTTTTTCATGTAATGAATGATGTTTGTTCTACTCCCTCCAGCAACAACAGGAGGATACCCGACAGAACAGCCTCGGCTGCGCATTTGGTATTCTATATGACCTTGTAAAGCAGTTTCCGTGATTCCTGGTTGTGTAATTTGCATAGCCGACTTAAGAGACTCGATCGCTGCAATAACCGCGGTTTTTATCTGTCTTAGTTCATAATT